TCAATAAATTATCTTTTAGAATTTTATTGACTGTCATCTTTTTGCTCACGACTGAGACGGTTGGTCAGACCCAAATTCTTTGGGTGTGTTACCAAACTGTTACATGAACAGATGCAAACTGGATCCAGGCCTGATGTACATGAACTCATCTGAATGAGACCCGGGCAGATGACCTGGAAAATCACTGGATCTGATCTGTTGCAGATCATCTGGACTCCGATTCAAACCTGGTTTGTCGTCCTTTATGGAGCCTGTGGTATATCTGTGGTGTATCAGTCCAGAGTCACTTCTGCCAAAGATCTCTAAAAGAATCAACCAATACCCTGCTGACGTTGACGACCCTGATGTTCCAGTTCCAAATGGCCAGATGAGCTTTATTCATTGGCTCTCATCTTAGCTAATGTTAGCATAACTGCTTATAATTACTGTCATGTGGGGCAGAAAGAAGCTGAAGTTTCCCCTGACCACCCCTACCTCAGACAGCCGAGACCCTAATCCTTCCTCACTAATATTTAAAACAATAAATAAAATGAGGTGTATTTATTTTAACAGTTATAGAATTAAGATTCTTAACACATTCAGTTTTTCAGTAGTTCCACACAAACAAGCCGTCCAATAAAGTCACACATTTTGTGCATACTGAATAAAAGAATTCACCTAAAAACAGAAAACTAGAAACAATTTCTGAATGGTATATAGTTATATATGTTTGTATTTCACAATGATGCAAAATAAAACATATGTAATCACAAAACTGAAGAATGAAATGTATGATATGCATATTTGTCATTTTGGAGACCTGCTCCTGGAAAAGCGTTTTTAATACTAAGAGTTATTGAAAAATGATTCATTTTAAACATGAAGTGCAGATTGTAACTGATCTCAGAGCAGTGAAAGCAGAACCAGTAACAGTTTGCACAATGCACACGAGCAAACCACCGTTCGGCTTGCCCAGCACTGTTAACAGGTGAGGATAACCTTTGGGCATTTTTCACAGTTCAGAAGCTGCTGCTGAGAGAACGTCAGGAAACACATGCACCACTTCATGGATTACCAACAACCTTATAGACAGACTGTAATTGGGCAGTGCTCTGTCAGATTTGTGCACTGCAGGAGGTCCATAGGGACTGTTCTGTCTCCATTCCTTTTTACCTTGTAAAGCTCAGCTCATGACCGGAGTAGATGCAGTGGTTGGATGTATTACTGATGGACGGGAAGAGGAGCACGAAGCACGAAGTACTGAAATTATTTTCTGCAGTGGTCTGGAAGCCTGAAACGCACATAAGACCACTGAGATGGTGATGAACCTTAGAAGGAGAAGAAGAGCTGGGTCAGCACCCATTACAATGTTCCGGTCTTCTTGTTTTGCATTTGCTTGACAAACACTACCTGCATGTAGTTTGTTTGGTCCTTGTGTACAGTTTGTGTTTGTGTTGGGAGCTGGATGTTTCTTGGTGTTGGTGATTAGTGGATTTGATTTTCAATGACATCTTTTGTAGAAAATCCTACCCCATCCCAGGCTTCATTATTAAGTCACGTTACAATGTTTTCAGATGTTGCCAATAAAAAGCATGTAATGTACAGTGTTGGGGAGTAACGGAATACATGTACCGTATTTAAAATACAAAATATGAGTAACTGTATTCCGTTACAGTTACCGTTTAAAAAGGTGGTATTTAGAATACAGTTACTTTGTTGAAATAAATGG